CTATTCGGAATTGGTTGATATCTGACACGTTTATAGAGGCTCATAGCTTTCACGGCTAGCATCATTTTATCGACAATTTATTTCTCACGTTAGTTCAATTATGGCTCCTATTACATATTGTTTGACTGGCAAATCATTTGTATCGACATCACAAGCTACTGAAGCTTTTGCTCTCATCAAGCATAAGCTCACTACGGATCACATCTTGTTGTTACTTTATTTCACGTTACTTTTTGAATTGCCGTGCGATGCCTCAAAGGTGGGAATAGGAGTTGTGTTGAGCCAAAACTCTCATCTTGTGGTTTTCTTTAGGGAGAAATTATATGCGCTCAGTTGCGCTATAACACGCATGATGTGGAATTCTATGTTGTGGTTAGGGTTGTTCGTTATTGGCGTCATTATTTGTTTCATCAGAAGTTTGTGCTATACACGGATCATGACGTACTTCGGCATCTCACTTCCCAGGATAATATCTTGGCTCGTCATGTTTTCTGGACTTTATATTTGCATCAATTCACCTTTATCTGAAGCATCGTCTGGGTGCCTCTACTCGTGTAGCAAATGAGTTGAGTCGGCACAACCTTCTGTTGACGGACTTGCGGGTTACAGTCACGGGTTTTGATTTGTCGCGCGAGTTGCCATTCCTACGTCATTTTTTCCCCTAAATTTCCCCCACCACATAATTACTAGTGTTGATACCCGTGCGATGCACGGGGTGCAATACACAAAATTATTTTTTATTTAAAAATTATAAAATTATTTAAGACAATATGAAATTATATTCTCAACAATATTCTATTCAGAAATAATATGACATTTAGTTATTCACTATTATTATTAATTTCTATTTTTATATATTTATTTGTAGTTGTTGACTATTTAATATATAAATTTCATTATTTATAAGTTTATAAACCTTTATAAATGTATAAGATCATATGATATTTGCATACAAATTACTTGTATGTACTTACAAAATTGTCGTTCATCATAGACTTATAATTTTTTAACAATTAATAATTTGCACATTGCTTGATAATTGACCAATGTTTAACTCGTAATATTTATCGTCCGCTATAATTATTAAGTTCAATAAATGTTAAAAACTTTGATAAATAAATTTTAACTTTTAGTAACTTTAATCCTTATGCAACACACGAATTTTTTATAGTTAAATATTTTATTTTTATGTTTTCATTTTTTATTTATATTTAATTCTTTAGTTCATTTTTTCAACCTGTGTATGAGTTACATAGTATCTATTTGAATATTTAGATATATTATATATTTCTATAATTTCCAAGTGCTATAATTTAAATTATTATACATTGCTTTTTTATTACTTATTTTTCATTTATAATATATAATATGAGAAAAAAATATATTTTTAAAAATAAATAGTTCTTTTTGTGTACATAGATACTTTTAAGGTGAAATTTATAATCTTGAATTAAAGCTCATGTAGAGGCACCTACGGCAGGCACCCGACCATCGAATTTTATTTTTATTAGTATATCATTTAAATTTTTTTATTTTTTTTTCG